CGATGTCAGCGGTCGATGCCAATGAACCGTGATTGAATTCCGATTTCGATTACCGGTCTCTGATGCGAGCAACGTTCGCTTTCTCGAAGGTTGTTTCAATCAATTGCGAAATGGCATATGAACAGGTATTAAAATTATTTCCTGAAATCGAACTGGTATTCATTCAAAAATTCTATACAGGAAGTGTAAAATTTGAACAATTTTATTTTTCAATGCGTTCAAGTTTTTTAATTGGAAAAAAATTAAAATTAAAATTTTCGAAGAATCCTTAGAATAATATTTTTCATGTGAGTTTAAATATTTTAAATATTTAATCAATTTTTAATATTTGCTAAATTTATTTTAAAAGATTACGATTATTGAATGAATTAATAGATTTCTGGAATAATTGATTCTACGAATTTTATACAGACTCATCTTTTGAGAATTTCTCTTAGGACTTCTTTTAGCTCGAAAAATTAGACAGAAGTAACCGAAATAGTCGAAATAAGTTTTTTCTACCGATTCTCGCAAGAGGGTAACAGTCTATTTTAATCATCGCTTCATCGGAGTCTAAATCTAAGCTGCTATTCTCAGCACACGTTTTACCATAATAAACGCGACAAAGGCATTTCGCTATCGCCATCTGTTGGAGAATGCAACGAGCTCGAACTTTTCATTAGGTGCATTCGATGCAACAGGACCGATGTAGGCAATACTGACAGTACATATATTAAATATGCGGTAGTGCTATTTAAAAAATATCACATGATATCTTAAACCGCATATTCTTATACTTCATTAAGCAAAAAGATATTATCTTCCTGACAATTTGAGAATCATAAATATCACCTATCTTTACGATTCTTCGTTGGAATTATTTTTTGAATAAAATGTAACACTAAAAAATATCACTCACCCTTCTCCCTGAAGTCTATTATCTGCTACTTGTATAGGTAACGGTGCAGCTAACTGTCTGACTAATTCATCCCTCTCTCTTTCCTTTTGTTGGATAGTCTCCTGCAACCTTTGCTTCTGTTTCTGATATTCTTTAAATAGGCCACCATTGTAACTTTGTTCGAGGTTATCGCTAGGAGCCATCATCGCTCTAATCGGTATCACGGATGGGTCTGTAATTTTAGCTGCGACTCCCGTGGGCTTTTCCGTCAAGGAGTCTCTTCTAGAACTTCTGGCAGTCGAAGGCGCCGGCGATTCCCTTCCAGCCACTCTGCGCTCCGGCGTAGATGTCGCTGAAGGATCCATTTCCACGCCTACATTACAAAAATTATAGATTTTTGAGATAATTTAGGAGTTTTTTACATGATATGGAACTACACACACATATATAAAACAATACATTTAATTTTATCAGTCGTGGAAATAATAAAATTAATCAAAATTAAATAAATTAATTGGAATAATAAAACATACGTTTCATTAAACATATATTATATAATTAGGATAAAAAAATCTGTCACTTTTTAATTAAGAATCTTTTCAAAATACTTATAATATTCTATTGTGCACAAAACAAAATGACCTAAAAACTTATAAATATAAAGTATATTTTATAATCTTACCATCAGGGCTTTTGGAGTGTCCTCGAGTCCTCGGTGGAGCCTTAGGTTGAGCATTCATAGTTTCTTGTATCGAGGGTAATTGTTGGAATTCGGCGTAATTCGAGCTAAGGAAGACGTCACCCTCATTCTCGAAGAGCCTATCGACGCTAGTATTCATTAATTTGTTGTTTTTGAATCCGGTTAAATGGAAGCTAGCGAACGACGACCTGGACATCGGGTTTACGTCGCCGACGGATAGCGCCATAAGCGCCGCTGATGGTATAGATGTGTTCTTAGGACTCCTGGGCCCGAGACCAGCTTCCAAAGCCGGCACTAAGCTACGAGACATCATGTCTGCGGCGGATCTCGGCCTAGTAAATGGCATGGCGCTGTGCGGAAAAGTCTTCGGTTTAATCGGCGTTATCAACATATGTTCCGTCCACGAAGTCTCCAAGGAGGGCCTCTCCAGGCGTTCCACATCGACGTTCAGGGTTCTTTGTGCAAAAGGTACGGCGAATGTCTCGGGAGGTATACTTTGAAGCCATGAAAGTAAACTTAAGTCCGAATCGCTAAAACCCACGGATCCATCCAGTAGCCTCGAAAAACTCATCTCTACCTATAATATAAAAACGTACGGAATAAAACATTTAAACAAAATGAAACTAAATAAAATGCGTACTACATATCGTTTTCTTATTTCAAAAGTGATAACTAAAAAAATATAATTTTCGAGTTATTATCATGAATGAGTCAGGTAAAGATTATTCTATTAATCATCAAAAGTAAACTAACTTAACTTCAGTTCATCAAATAGCACTTGTATCATTTTTAACATCTTTAAAGAGATAATATTTTCTACAAATGTGACGCATTTTAAGTTTTTCGTAAATAAAAAGAAAAGTCTCCCATACAGAACATTTAGTGTTAAAACAGTTTTGGTTATCAAAGTTTGAAAAAGAAACTGTTTTATTTTAAATTTAGATTATTTTAAATAATTTTAGCTAAGAAAGATAAATATAAACTTGGTGATATTTAAAGTTATATCACATCTGATGAATTATTCCAGATTTGTTATAATTTTGTAAGATATAAAAATTTTCAACTAAAAAAGAGTGATTTTCTAAGAGTTGTAAAACAAAAATGACAAAATTGATATTTGATAATGTTTCTTGTAAGATAATCTTTTGTAAAACTTTTGCCGATATGTTTGATTAGTCAACAACTTTCTGTTAAGTTGAAAAATAGTTCTGCCCCTTTCGAAAAAACTTAAGTTTTTTAACTGCGTCACTTTTGAAGTAAGGAAATGATATAAGAATAAAAATAAATGTAAAAATATAACATATATAAATAAAATATCTAACATTTTATCAAGTAATTATGTAGTCTATGTTTACATAAAAAGTAAAAATAATTTTGATGTAGTTTGGGCAAATTTTCAATATTCTTTATTAAAACAAAGCAAAAAAGAACAGACGAAAATCACCTGTTCGCTTTCTTTCGACCCAGTAGCTTTCGCTTGACAATAATTTACGCAGGATTCGTACAAAATGCCTTTGATGATAAGTTGAATAAGCCGATCGTTTTTCGCCGAGGTAATCGGATATGCGGAGTCGGCGTTCTTTCTATCACCAGGCAGGAACTTCTCTACCAAAGGATGAACCTCGCGGAAACATTGCACCCTCGCATTACTGGGATTCCAATCCTTGTACTGCAGATGGTCTGTTAGCCGTGGCAGAGTAAGCAACAGACATAGGCTGCTGTACTCCTCCTTGGAAGGCGCGACCTTTTCGAGGTCGCTTAACACCTTGACGACTTCTTCTACGGCATTATCGACGCTGCCGTTCGTCCCAGCGGCGATAACGTTCGCCTCGGATTTGATGCACAATAGCTCGACATATTTGTGGCGCAGGATCGAGTACGTGAACTTCCTCATATCGAAATCCGACAGCGCTTCCAGCGGTTGGATGAACTCGAGCACGTCGTCCCATTGTCCGTCGAGGATCAGCTGGCGCAGGAAAAGCACGTCGTCGCTGTACTGGCCGTTTATCACGCCGGTCTCACGTTCGAGCGAGAGCTGCGAGATGTGAAGGTCGCGGCTATGGAGGAACTCCAAGGTCAGGCGCACCACATCCTCCTCGCGCAGCGTCAGATGCGCCGCCGGCATCACGTACCGAATACGCAACCTGGACCATTTCATTAAAATATAAAATAACATTATGCCTCACACATAATCTTCATGTATCGTATGAGATTATTGAGACCAACATATACTTTGTAAAAAAATATTTATCTAGAATCTAGAGGTAAATCACTGAAAAATTTTTATGCTGATTTTGAATTTTTTACATAGAATGCTCTTAAAATCATCTCTCTCTCTCTTCTTTTAATTGAATTATTATTTTATAAAAATACATTCCAGTTTCTGCGAAATACTTCTGATTTTTCGAGTTACAGTAGCTATATGAAGCTTTGTGAAGATGTAGAGAAAATTAAAAAAATTTGTAATAATAACATTTACGATTTTGAAAAGTTGAATGTCATAAAATATTGTCATAAAATAATTTTCACATTTAGAAAGCTTCATATAAATATGAGAAAATTAGATACCATTATACAAAATTTAATTATGAAGATAAAAATTTTGCTTTTTAACTCCCCATCTTTAAAAACTTCGCATATATAAACGCAATACACAGTATTGTGAAACGACTTTTCATTCTGAAAAATATTGAAATTACAGAGGATATTAGAAATCATTTAACACAATATTACCGTATCGCAAGTGGGTATTACTATGTAATATCTGCAAATTATGAAACCACTTCAGGAATTTACCTCTTGATTTCAAACTTCGCGTGTTACAACACGAGTTAACGATAAAACGCGGACGAAAACTTGCTTAGCGATATTTATATTCAGAGTGGCCCGCAGCGAGAGAGAAGTCTAGATCAACGTCTCGGCATCCAGCCACCCACTTACGCAATAATCAGGGCACGACTATGGGTGCGCTGGCCCCGAAGTGCAACGAACTCCCGCGAGGAAGTACTATTTCGAATTTATGCATTCCATATATGCATATCATTATTGGGTTTCGTAATCGTGCGTTTTACAACAAACGGAAGTCCGTGCGCGAGTCAAATAACGTTTACACGTGACACGAATCATGATTGTTACAGTTCTTTCGCAAGTTAATTGTTAAGCAAACGCATGCCGTTTACGACATAACGAGAGCATGCGCTTTTTTTAGTCAATTAGCAAATGTAGCAATTTGCATTAACGATGTTTTCAGAATGCGTGTACGAGTAATGAATATTATACTATTACTTTTTTGGAATATTTGATGACATTCGTATTTTTGGTCTGAACGATTTTTCAGTAGCCACAACGTGCAAACTGCGCAAATTACAGAATATACGAAATTCCTAACATCAGCGATTCTATGGATATTTACACTTGGTGACAGACCGAGGAGTCGTGTCAGTCTCAGGCGAATAGCAAGAGCAACAAAAAACCACGATGTTTCCGTATCGAGGATCAGTGAGTAAATTTTTCTGATACATATATTTTACATTTACTTAATATTTTTATAAACCTTTAACTTAAACCGAAGTTAGAATTTTTCAATAATTAAACTATATATCATCAACATTAAGCAGAAATTTTGTAGAAATTAATACATATTGATTAATGAAACATTTATTTCTTTTTTATTTTATCTTTTATACTCTTTTTTATTCAATTTTTATATTAAAAAAAATAATAATAGTAAAATAATACTCCATACATATAATCTCACTCAATGATTTCAAATTATTTAATAAATACTATAAATACTTGAGGGAACAAATTTCTATTGTATCGAATATCTTTATGAGCAATCTGCATAAAATTTTCTTAATCAGTTCTTAGCAGTGACAATTTCGTTAACAAGTGTTGTACTTGCCGACATCATCGTTCAACCCGGTTACGATCATTCCGGCAAAAATCCATATTCGCAACCTGCTTCGCACCAAATAAACTCTCAGACTGAACAATATCACACGAAACAATTACCGAACCAAGAATTGCCGTATCTTCAAAGTGCTCGAACAGTGTATCCCTATTATGAATCCAAAGATCATTCAAATCTGGTGGGTTATCCATATCATCCGTTCCATCATTATTCACCGAGGAACCATCCGCATTACGCAAGGATAGGAAGCCATGAATATTCGCGGCCATCAGTATTCGTCGGTTACCGACAACCTTCGGTAAGTGCTTATCACATTATTAATTTGACATATGTTTCATTAATTTAACTTCGCAATATTTTATTATCATCTCATTGATATCTTAAATTTCATTTAATTTGATATTTTTAAAGTAATATTTAATTTAAGGAATGTAAAATATAGAACCTAATATCAATTTGACTAGTGCAATAAATATATATATCATATAAAGCTTTCTTTGAGTAAATTATAATTAAATACTGATCTTGTACATAGAAATTGATTCTATGTAACTGATTGAAGATTTTTTAAAAACGACATTTCCTCAGATAGGACACTACCATCAATGGGGTAGTCCGCACCATTACCACCGGTACAGAAGGTCACTTGACTCCGATTCTACACACACGGAATCCAATGAATCTGCGAACGTTGCACACGACAATGATGTGGCCTCGAAGTCGCCCTTAACCGATGACAAATATCCTAAAACCACCGACTCGTTACTTCCAGAACACGAGCCTACTGATACTAATGGTAAATACCTTAAAGAATAAAAATAAAGTTCGATATCTCCATAGAATAATTTAATGTGCTATTTATGTACTACTTATTTTCGCAAAAGTCGCGCAATTCCAATTTATATGCATATAAATTCCAATGAAACACAAATTTAAATTAATGTATCGATATTAATTGAGATGTAAACGATGGAAAAGTACTAGAATTTTAGGGTAAAAAATTCAGGAAATAATGGTTTCTTTCCTTTGGTTTTGGCAGTTTTTTTACTCACCGGATATTTTTTTTTTAACATTTCATGATTTCGACGCTGTACTATTGTGTGTTCCAGAATTTAGTTTTTGCACTTATTCGTAAGAATTCTGCGTAAAAATAGTTACAAAAGTTAAAATAAAATATAATGATTAATATAGTATAATGCCGGTGACTATAAATATACCTTACCTTTCACTATTACTTGAACGATATTTCATATTGTACTTCAATTTTAAAAGTTAAGTGTTCCATACTGTTATTAATACAAATAATACTTTACTAGACTAATTGACACCGTTTTTGTCATATACTGTGATTGTAATTATATATATTCTAAATTTAAATTAGTGAGACATCGTTCATCGAACCTCTAATTATTCTTGAATCAATACTAAGTATATTAGGATGTGGTCTAAAACTAATTAAAATATTGAATACAATTATAACCAATATGCAACAAAACAGTGGTTATTATGCTTATAAAGTATTATCTGTATCGATAACATCACTTATTTAGATTTTAAATATAAAATATTTCTTCAAATAATTATATTAAAATATAAATTTTTCATAAATTTTATGTAATTTGGTAAAAAATACCGTTTTTTTACATCTCTAGATATTAATATGAATCCACTTTCAGTGTAAACTACTTTATTATAGATAAGCATGTGGAGAACCGTCAGATCAAGATTGACCATATAATGAAACCACGGCATATATTCGGTTTATTCGGCATATATCCACAAATAATACGGTTCCCTGAACAACATACAAGCGAAAACACAATGCAACAAAAGATTATCAAATTTCCTTCCAATCCGAACACGTTAAATTTCAATGAGAATTCTCAGAAAAATGAACAAGATTGTGATGACGAAAATTTACATCTTCTTACTAATAGACCTTCTACACGTATAAGATTCGAACAATTTCCGGAGGAATTTTCAAATAACCGTCATAGCGAATACCGAAAGGGAAGAGAGCTGTCATGGGGAGAACACTTTACTAACCTCCTACTAGATAATATGAGACATCAGTGGGGGGGATACTATCACACATATACTCCATCATACACTGTATCTACCCCTACGGTGCCAACGGATCCACTGAAGACCAAATACTTAGATCTCGTAAATAAATATGATAAGGTAAAGGTTCTAATATTAATATCATTTGTTTAATGTCATTAGAAATTATTTTTGGCCGATTTATAGAAATTTGATTAGCTATTACAACTGAAACAATAGGGATCTTTTACGGAAATATTTTTCAATTATCTCACAATTAAATTTGATTAATAGAATTCACTACCTGCAACTTTAATATTGAAAAATATTCTTTTCTGCAATGTAAAGAATGTAATATTCATTTACACGATTTATGGTATAAAATATCTAATATAACATTCTTAGGAGAGAAAAAAAATGATTTTACAAATAGTTAATACAATGCATTGTATACGTAGCTGTTGCAGTTCGTCAAACAGCGTGGCGGCAACATTCCAAAATTTTTTTTGCATGCAAGACAAAACAAGATGAAACCGATAACGAAAAACGAAGAGGACACTTCATGGACACCCGATACCACTGAAATAACACGTTATCTCGAACAGGATCTACCTAACTCATACATTCCATCAGTAAGCAATTTCGATCAGGATAATTATCCGCACCATTGTTCGAATTGCCATAAGAATACTCCAAACTATTCTTCGGACGACTTTGAGGACAATTCAGATTTCCAGAGAAACTACAATTCAGCTCGTAATATCGAGCCTTTAATTTTGATTCCTAACTATAGCTATATCCCTAATGATAGTAACGATGATCCTAACTATGCCCCTGACATCGATATCTCTGTTGTCCCTGACCATGAAATTCACAAAGATTAGTGCTCGGAGCAATTTAGCGCCGATGATATCGCAGATGCAGTCTTTAGACGTATACAATTACCTGTCGGGAAAAAAATACAAGCTATTCTACTAGATTATAAATACTACAACAACTATCCAAGTGATACACCACTTTATGACACGTTTTTGTCATCACGTTATTAGTAAGTTTATTATTAGTAAGGCGCTTTTATAGATATGACGCTGTTATCGATTCCTGCCACGTTACCTTAAAGTAACGAGTCGATTGACCATAATGATTTCTATGTTCCATTTATTATAATTACTTTTATGCACGCATAATTTTTTATAAGCGCACATCCTCCATCCCCTGTCCACTCGGTAGTTGAACTTTTATATACAATTTTCTAAATAAGGAATAAAATGTTTTTTCAATGTTAAAAATTTATATGTATGTACTAAGGTCTTAAATAAATGTATTTTATGGTAATCACATCATAATATATTCTTTCCATTATATTTTTTAACGCGCTGTAAATTTTATTATATCTATCATAAAATTCCTAATTACTATTTAAATTTACCCGAATTTATACAATATTATAATAATTTTGCTATAATCTTTTCATTCTAAGTTTCTAACGCGCTTCAAAAGTTATTAACCTAAGTAAACGGTTAAGTGGCACAATATAAAATTAGTAATAACTATAAGTACAAATCTAAAACATCATTTTGATAGATAAGTTAACCAACGAGAACATAGTTTTACGATTAAATAAAGATTGATAATATTCAGATATATCCAAAATCATGAAGTTTCATCACGGACCAAATTGGGAACACTTTCGCCAATAATCCTAACTTTGATTATAGTCGATAAACATACACAGCGATGAAACGAAAATTCAATTTCAGACAATTTGCTAGGAGTTAATTGAGCCGAACGCGGGGATCGTAGCGCCGTCTGTAAAATGTGCGAATGTCTACCGGAAAAGAAGGGCAAATACTGATCGAGCAATTTTTGACTGGGCCGGGGTGCATCTCGCTCTGATGGAAAGCAATTTCTTTGAT